TAATCTTGAAACCAAAAGACCAAATTCTGAAACCCACAAAAGAGCTATATTCTTATGAGAAGACAAAATATATTGAGAAAGTTGACTCCAAAAGCACATCTCAATGTTCAATTAAGTTATAAATTCTGATTTCTTAAAATATTCAATTTCTAACTTACTTAACAGCTTATTACTCCACAATTATTTTGAAGATTTTAATTCTGACTATTAACACTGTAAAAATAAACAGGCTTTACAATATTTTAAACTGATACTGCATTTAAAAAGCACTACCAGTTCAGGATTATGTAAACCACATATATTCCAAAATCAAGCAATAATAAAAATGTCACAATCACTAAAACTAGATTACTTTTCTATCACGTTTTACAGTACTTCATACACAGATAAAACAATACCAACAGGAGAAAAACTGAAAACTTCAGCACTATAGTGTTATCACCACTCAGTTGCAAAAACAACTTTATTTGCGAGAAAAGTATGTTAACAAATGTCATGAATACTATTCCATTAACACATTAGAACACACACATTACTATAGATTCCATTGTAATGTTTCAGCAAAAAGTTAACTGTTGATTTTCCCCTCATGACCCTTGCAACAGTAATAAAAGATGTGCCCAGTTCTATTAAATACAGCATTAATCTTTGTAACATGAAGATTTTAACAATGACATGCTAGGTCTTAAAACAAAAACTGGAATCCTATTTGGGACTATGCAACATTGAATTCATTAAGTAAACTGTATAAGCTTGAGATCCTGATCTGAGGTTTAAGGCCGGAACCTAATGTCCATTTACTTCAGAGTAAATGTAATGGGATATATTTTTCAATCATATGTCATATTGGACCACTAGCTATTTTATTAAAACTTGAAAACAGAACTTTGTATTTTCTTGTTAAGCCAATTTGAGAAATATATATCTACACTGAATAAAATAGGTTGGGTTCCAGCCTAGATATCCTTAGAATACAACTACTAAAAAGAATGGCATTTAAGTTAGTTATAATACCACTCACTTATTTCATTGGACTGATTTCAGTAAATATCAGTATGACTGGTTCGGGCCTTCAATATTTTTATCATCCATGTTAAAAATACCATATCTGACTGAACATGTGAACTATATGATATACTAAACTTTGAGATATATTGAGAAACTACAAAAGTGTTACTACTTTTCATTCACGCATTCACCCACTAGATAACTGTTTAAGCAAAACCTATACTTTCTGAATCAGTCTAAAAAAATACACAAGACTTGATAATATGTGCATTTCAGCCTTATAATACAACTCAAGAAACTGGATGGATCAAGTATGAAAATAGTATAACTTGTCAACTTCAGATCTAGGTACTCTTTTTCTTAGATCTGATGTTGGCATGTTATGTTATTTTTCTGTATTTAACTTAGGAGCAAAATTTTAAGGCGTCTCAAGAGATTTTTATAGACCTCATTTTAAAATAATGAGATGAAGACCACCGTCTTATTAAGGTTTTAAAACACTAATAAAGGATAAATGTACATAAAAACTGACTAGTCATGAACAGATAATTTTATTCAGCATTTTTAGAAATCTGAGTTTTCTGGCTATTAATCATCCTTTTCTTTTCTTCAAAATCCTTATGGAGCAAATTAGTAACTGAGAGAGGACGCCAATTCTAGTAAGTGAATGTTACCCAGCAGGGATATAAAGCTGTCAACACCCCAGAGCTCTTGCTTGCTTTAACCTCTCTCCCAGGCGTCATATGTATTTTAAAGAGATATTTGCTTTTTTCTCCCACAGACTTACTATAAATCCTGCCAATCATGAGCATATCACAGCATTTCTGTTTTATTACATAGATGGTTAAAACAGAGCATCTAGGAATTGCAGGAAGTGCTAGAATACCAGAAGAAGGGGGAGGGAGGGGGGGGTGAAAGCAGCAGCTAATCTTGACTAGTTCTACTGAAATTAATATAGTAAAGGACAAGAAGTGTTAACTGAAAAACATATGACTTGCCATTAGCAACAAAAGTTTTCTGTAATCTACATCTCAAAATAAAAATTCAAAAAAGAATAAGTTTGTGTTCAGAGATGTGCATCTTAACATAACTAATGTTATAATCTTAGGTCTGCACAAATAATAATTGGAGGGATAAAGAGGAGAGTGTGCTTTAAAATCGTATGGGAAGTATCAATGGGCTTTTTTGTTTTCCCCAACAAAAATAAGATAATTACAGTCTGGTGATCCTTAAAAAAAACTACAGTGCTATTTTAAGAATTTGTAACTTTCCTAAATTATGTATTATTTTTAAAACTGTCATTATACTTGGACCATCTCAAGACATCTTTTTATTGTTTTACATACCAAATATTCCTTCAGTGTAGCTAGATTCCTTCGTTTACTCCTTTCTCTAAACCGCTTTCCCTTTCTGTTATAATTTACTATCCTCAAATCTATAAAATTCAGATTAAGCATGTTGTAATGCACATGGCAGAATTTATACTGTGCAGCAATTTATTTTACAAAATGGATTAGAAATATTGGGTTGTATTGTAATTAAAAGGATATATTTATTCTATAAAAATGTACTATTTGAAGCAAGGCAATCTTCTGTAATTTATGCCTAATTCTATGAGCAGATTTCTTGATCGTTTTTACAAAATACACTTTTGAAGCACAATAACAATGAAAATTTTATAAGACAGAAAGTGTTACAGCAGCTAAAATAAAATTTACATCAATTTTATCTATCACCCACTTCCTAAGATGGTCTAATTTTACTATTTTAATATTTAATTGCCTTAGTATTCAGTGTAATAGAATTAAGAACGATTTTTGAAATTATTCTTAGTGCCTTCATTCAATTGGTAACAGGTGCTACAATTACAAGAACCTGCATGAAACAGGACATTAATACCATAATATGGTTTGTTAATTTAAAACAATTAGCATTGCATGAAAAGTTAAGTTCTTAGAAGAGGACCCTGAGAAATGAAAGACTTCACAAAAAAAAAAAAAAAAAATCCTGTCTCTTGTCATACTAATATCATTACCATTTATTGAGAATTTTTTTGTGGCAAAACCCTGTAGTAGTAAGGCAACATTTGCAAACTCCTCCAAAATATTTTTTAAAAATTAAAAACCTATCAGTCCGCAATGTATTTAACAAATCACCAGAAAGCAACAATGCAAATTACAAACATTTTCTCAAAATGAATGTTCTTAACTTGTCCCGATCTCCCCCATGGTTCATTTTGAAACAGTTGCAAAAAGCGTAGCAAGCAACAAATCAATTACTGTTATTACTTTCAGAGTTTTCTATAACTTATTTAATTATTTTTTTCTTATCTCAAAGATTACAATAAGAATGCTAAAAACAACTCAATACATTCATCAAAGCTCTGAAGCCATTGAATATTTTTTATCCAGTACAAAAAAAATATTTAAATTACCTAAGAATATATAAATAACTAAAATGGAGGACAAGGGAGAAAGAATGAGAGACAGATAAAGGAAACCTCAAGATACAACTTTTCAGTAATCTTTAGCAATTACTAATCTCTACTAAACAGGGAAAGCTAAGAACACACACAAAATGGTTGAACTGTGAAAAAGGGTGCAATGGTGCTATACCGTACTTTTCTTATCAAAGAACTCGGTATTTGTAAAGACATCCATTTTTTAATAAACTGCTGCAAGGTAAGAATGCTGCCATGTGCATTACAACATGCTTTATATTTAAGAGAACTATGTGTTTGCCATTATTATTTCTTTTATTTTAGAAATTTTGCACAAAGATGACCTTGTTATAATATCCACCTCCAAACCTAAAGTGATTGAAGTGAAAGATGAAGGAGCTATGACATTCAAAAATGAAATCTTTAAAGTAACTGAACTGCATCTTAAAGGTTTTTAAATGTTAATTATTGAAATGGCGTCATTTAAAACTGTAAAATTATATAGAGCACATGAGATATCTTTAAATATAATATCCAAATGACATAAGATTGTTAAAATAGATATATAATTCTGCACAAAAGCAAAATAAACTTAGTTTTTCCTAAGAAAGTAAAGAAATGATTTGGCTTATATATTTATTTGCATTATATTTTACTTAGTGACATCAAACTATTAATTGTAAATGGATTAGGATTACAGATTTAGAAGGCCACCTGAACTCCTAAACTACATCTCACAAAACTCAGCTGAATTAAACTAAGAACAGATAAAGAAACAATACACCAATTCCCTCTAAGTTTTTGTGACAAGTGAGACACAAGGTAAAAGCTTATATTTATCCTCATATTCTTAATTAGTAAAATTTATACACTATTTTGTGACATTAAGTTGACCTAAGATATTATCCTAAAATGGATTTTCAAATGACTTTTTTACACATTTAAAGATTTTGAAATCCTTCTAAGAGAGAATAAAATATAATGTAAATTGTGAAATACATAGAAAGCGTTTAACAAAAATAGAGAATTCTTGGGACTAAATTAAGTGCCCCCTTTAATATAGTTTATTTAATACAAGCTATTTCAGCATAAATAAAAAAACTACATACGGGCTAAATACTTTGACGTTGGTCCAGATATAGATATATAACTATTTAGAAGATAATGACAAGTACTCTTAAATAAAAGAATCTAAATTCTTATTATGTATTCTGTTAATAGTAAGTCAAAGTGTTTAACAACTTTAAGCATTCCAGGAAAAAGAAGGCACTCTCTACCGCAACATAAAGGAGTTAACTCCACATATAAAATGGCACAGTGCCTAAAATATGCCACTTTCTACATAAGCCACTTTATTTAACCATAATGAGCCTATTGGTTACTGATGAGAGACATCAGTTAAAGTGAGGCATTAACTGTCTGCCATTGACTTTCTTTCCGTAATCTTACACCAAGACGCACAAGCTACGCCAACCTGAACCCTGAGACCTTGTGCTATTATAACTCAGCCGCCAGACTGTTATGCATACATTAGTTCTGCTAGGTTTGTTACCTCCCACTGATTTGGTGACAGAACCATTGAGCCTCCCTCTGGCTCCCATAGGGCTGCCATTCTGTTCAAGCCTGGCCACCTTCACCGGGGGAGGACCTTTGACATCAGGGCTGCCGCTCCCTCTCTCTGGGCTATCCCTTAAGCAGGGACTCTCACTTCTCCGATCCATATTGCTCTGAGTTGGAGACAACGTTCCCACAGGCAGGTCACAATAAAATGAGCAAGGACCTAAAACAGAAAGAGGGAGAAAAAAACAAACAAGAAATACCATTTCAGAAGCATCCAAATCCACTGTGTCAGTTACATCTACATTTAACAAGTAGGGTGCTTCAAGCAGAAATAACGGCAGCTGCACAGCACAGGAGAGCTAACCAGAACGTTCTAGTTTTGCACCTGATTTCTTAACATCTTTCTATGCTGCTTGGGGTACCTTCAGCTAACAAGTACCTACACAGTATTTTTCAGAGAACTTGATTGTTCATTTAACTTTGGCTTTATAAACTTTACTATTATCAGAACTATTAACCTGTTCCAGTTTCTCTTTTGGAGAAAGAATGCACTTTATAAAAGCTATGGACTCGGCAAACAAATGTGTTAATAAGAAAGTCTAAGCTTTAAAAGAGCTAATGCATTTCAGATACAATAACCCATGAACCAATATAGTCATCCAGTTAGATAGCCAAATATGCGTTTCAAGATTGGTCCTATTCTGGATAAAGTATGAAGAAATAAGCAGCAAACATATAATGCCAGTTAAAAGTACTTAAAAATGTAGCCCCACTTTCAAACTATTAAACAAGATTTTAAAAGCAGCATATACTTGCTATCTTTTCCATTTGTAAACATTTGCTAAATAATGATGTTAGGCTAACCTTTGATTCTTCTGTTGATTTGCTTTTTGTTTTGCAAAGAAAAAATAGTTTTGCTCAGAAGGAAAAAAAAACATTTTTCCTCAAGTATTACCCCCTTATATGCCTATAATCCTAGAGCCGATTAAGAATTTTGTGCTGAAATGCTATCTCAAGCAGATTGCGTTTTCAAGCTTCAGTACACAACGTAGGGGTGGGGGAGACAGCATAAGAGCGATTTAGAGTTACACAGAAACAAATAAAATGGAGTGTAACATATCACACTGAAACTTCAACCTGAAGCAACTCAAGTCAGTTTACTACATTTCTATTAAGCCAATTATTTTGTTTCGAGCAGGCGTCTTCCATCATCTTTCGGAACTACCGCGACAAGTTCGGCTAAGCTTTCCAGTAGTACTTACTGCTTATATTCTGTCCGTAACTTGGCTGACTTGGGCTCTGTCCATGGATCAAAAGTAGAGAATCCAGGATGGAAAGTTTTCTTGGCTCCTCTTGCTACGTTATTTTCTTCTTTGCCTTTTTCGCTTCTCCCCAGTACCCCACCCCACTGACGCCTTAAGTTGGGGCGGGGGGGTATTTTTTTTTTCCTCCTTTTTTTTTTCCGTTCCCGAGTTAGGATACCTGGTCGTCCCTTGCGCCTGAAACGGCTCGATGCTTTGAGGAAAGAGCTCTTCCTAAAAGGGCACCCGAGGTGGCAACTGGAAGAGAGGTGAGACTTCTGGGATCGGGAGGGAAGGAGGCGGGGGGGGGACGGGGGGCGGTTTCTCAGCCCTTCGGCAAAAAAGGGGAGAAAAAATAAGAGGGGGAGGGGGAAGCAAAGGGGTGGAGAAGCTGTTTCCGAAGAGGGACACTCTATCGGACTAGCGGCGGCAGCGGCAGCAGAAGCCGGTGCTCTGATCTCTGGTAAGCCGCGAGCTGCGCCCGATGTGTCACTTTCAATCTCTCCCCTTTCCAGCCAGCATAAGCAGCCGCGGCGGCGGCAGCAGCAGCAGCAACACGAGGGATTCGCCAGAGAGGAGACAAATGATTATTAGTTGCGTTGAGTCATCAGGCAAAGTGAGTCCTTTCTGGGATTGTCCTTCTTTGCTTTGGGAATTTTGGGGGTGGTGGTGATGGTGGTGATGCCTTTTTTTTCCCCTCCCTCTCTCCCTCCCTCCCTCTCTCTACCTCCTCCCGATTCTTGGAATCCAAAATAACAACAGCCCCGCTTCCTCCCTTCTCTATCCCTCCTACTTCCCCCCCCCCTCCCGCTTCCTCCTTCCTCTCTTCCTAGTTCCCCAAAATAGTATCTGCGTTTAATCTTACGGGATCGCTCGGACAGGATAGAGCCCTTCCCAAGGCGGCCGGCTAGGATTTTACAAATTGCTGCTGCTGGGGTCAGCACCGCCGTTTCCACGCAGGCGAGAAAGACCGGAGGTGGGGAGCGGGGGTGGGGGGGGCGGTGGGAGAGGAAGCCGCCTGTCAGTGAATTAAAGCCCAATAAATATATAATAAATTGAAACACGCGGTTCACGCAAGCACCCAGGCAAAGCAAAAGGGAGCAGGCGGGGGAGCTGGGAGGAGAAGCGAGGAGGCGGCATTGCGAAGGAAAGGGGCAGGATTAGCGGGGGGGGGGAGCTTGTGAAATTGGGGGCGGAGGGGAGGCAGCGAGCGAACCAGGCTACAGCTGTAAAAGTGAAGCCGAGCAGCCACGCGGGAGGGCACTCGGGACGCGAGGGCGGGAGGGCTGGAGCAGCGCCAGCCCCGTATCCATTCCAGGCGCTTCCCTTCCCGTCAGTCTCTTCCTCCGAGCGGCCTGGCGGCGACGGAGCCTCAAAACAAACGCACATGGCCCTCCCCCGCAGCGCAGGGAGGGGGACGGTGCGCGAGTCCCGCGGGAAGGGCGGGTGAGGGGAGTCAGCCCTCCTTGACCGCATTTTTATTTTTATTTTTATTTTTTTTTCTTCCCTCCTTCCCGAGTCGAAGGGGCGCTGGGTGGCCAACCGCTCCTTCAGAGCCGCTTCGTCCTGCGCGCGCGCGCGCGCGCACACACACACACGCCCTTCGGGAGCCGCAGGGTCCGGGGGTGGGCAGTGGGGGGGCAGAAGGGCGAGTGGCCCCAGCTTGCCTGGGTCGCCGTCGGCGCCGCCGTTCCCTTGACGGCGTTCAGCAGCTGCCGAGCGGTGGGGTAGAGCGGAGGACAAGCGGTAGGATCCGCGCCCGAGAAGGAAGCTCAGGTGAAGACGCCTTCGCTGGAGCAGCGGCAGGGAAGCGAAGGCGCTACCCGTTGGGGAGAGTTAACGGACGCTGAGCGCGGGGGCCCATCCCGAGAGCGCGCTTTCTCTCTCCCCCCCCCGGAATCCTGGATAAGGGGGGGGGAGAGGGAAATAACCGACCCCGTCCGCCTCTCTCCCTTCGCCGCCCTCAGCCACGGAGACCCTGAAGCCTCTCCTCGGCGTCGGCGGCAGCTCCGCGCTTAAGGTGGTGCAGCAGGAATCCCTTTTTCCCTCCGTCAGGCGGAGACGACTCGGCGAGCTCCCCCCTCCTTCTCCTCTTCCTTTCGCCTCTCGCCTTCCTCGGCGCTGCCGTTGGGGGAAAGCCCCGCGCGCGCCCGGCCGTTAGTCCGCCCAACTGCCAGAGCCGGAGAAGGACCAGCATTCCTGCCGCTCAGCGAAACTCTTGGCCCCCTTAAGCGTGCTTTATTTTACGGTGGCGCTAGAGGGTCAAAAAAAAAAAAATCCCCTCAGCCTGAATGGGTTTCGGGGTTTGTGCGGCTTTTTAATCGCGGCGACTGTAGAATATATTAAAGGTTTGGGAGGAAATGGGATTTTTTTTTTCCGCCCGTTTAGAAGAGTAAGCAGGACGAGGGAAATTGGTTTGAATTAGAACCGTTGAGGAGATAGAGGCAATTCAGTTATACCCCCGCTAAAGAAGAACGAAGAAAAAAAGGATTGTACTGTAACGCCTGCCTGGAGTCAAACTTGACTTCTGAGGAATTCGTGGCCACGTCCACGAAGCTATCCTGGCAACAGTAAAAAAAAAAAAAAGTGGTTTGCGTTAAAGACTTCCAGGATGGATTTTTTTTAGACTTCCCAAACAGCTTCATTATGAATATGAAATTCAGGAAAACAGATAAAGAAAAGAAAAAAATCGGGGGACGGATGAGAAGGAGAGACTTTTAAAACATCCCACAGTCTCCTCTATCTTCGGCGAGAGTTATTCGCTAATCAGTAGGTCGTGGCGACCATTTAGCCCACGCAAAATTAGGTTGTCTTACCCCACGCAGAACTGCGTCCTTTGGGGTGCCCGAGACGGCGTGTTTAACCTTCCTCTGGCGGACCCCAGATATTTCGCCATCAGGGGGCTTGGTGTTTTCCACCCCACCCGCCTTCAACTTCCCCCGCGTCAGGTACATATTTCTGACGTCCTGAAGCGAAAGCCTTTCCGCAACTGCCATGCACGGGTGAGCAGAAGCGGCGGAACACACACACCACCACCACCACCACCCAGTAGCTGCCGCAAAATTATAGCGAAGCGTCTCCTGTGCCGCCGAGGCTGCCGACGCCGGGTAGCCTCTGCAATCCGGGCCGAAGACAAACCAGAAAAAGCACCGAGTAGCTTCATATAATCTCGCTGGAGACTTTATTCCGGATGAAAAGGAAAAAGAAGAGTCTCGGCTCTCTTCTTCCCCACCTTATTCCCCCCCCACACACACACACACATCTCTTCCTTCTTGAATAGTTTTGCGAGCCGCTGCGGTGGACGCTTCCAGCTTTCGGAAGAGGCAGAAAGCGAAGTGGTGACTTTGGACTTTGGGCTCCGCCAAGAACGGGAGTCTGGAGGGGAAAGGCGCAGCATGCGCGCTCTTTCTTCCATCTCTCGAGGATGGCTAGACCGCTGTAGCTCGCCTCTCTGCCGACCTTGCATAGACCCCCCCCCCTCTAGGAAGCGCTGCTGGTTGGCAGCCCCGGAACTACGGAGAAGCCCTGACTAGGGTAAGAGATGAATTCCAAGTCATTTCCATTTTAAATCGGAGTAGGGCGACGGTTTCAACCATCCCTGGAAAAGCCACGGCTGTTCCGCAAAGAATGTGCACTTCCCCCCCCCCCCCTTCCCCGTCCCTGCACGAATGGTACTTGTAGGACACGTCAATCTTTTCTTGAAAATCTGTAGAGAACATGTTCTTTCTTTGACATTTCAAAAGCGTTCTGCCAGGGAAAAATAAAACGCGATGCGGTACTTACACTCTGTTCCTCGAGCTCTTTGCCCATGAGGAATGTTTATGAGACTCATTTGAAAGAATTATAGTCGTAGTATTGAAAGAATCGCGAAAGAACCATTCTCAATTTAGCAGAAATACATTGCGCTTGTTTTAGAAAAGGAGGTTGGGAGAGATGTGGAAGCGAAATTGCAGGGACGTGGGAGGGGGGAACCCTAAACTAAAAAGGACGGGGTGATTTGCCGGAAGCATTTTCTAGAAAAATTTTGTTCCTTTGATCCTAGCAGTAGTAATTTTCCTCTTACCTTTATTAATCAGATTGGTCCTCAAAATAGGAAGTATTGCTAGTTTCAGAAGCTGAGATTTCTGGTGGGAAAATAAGATTTCTTTCAGGCAGATCTTTCCTGCTCCTGGCTGGTTTATTATTATTGTTACTGCTGATTATGTGGGTGGCTAGAGAGAGTTCATCCCACCTCATTAATGAATTATTTTATGGTATCTGAGAAGTGAAGATCTTAATAGGCATTTGGTCATTGATCACATTTAACATCACAGTTCTGGGTGAATAACCTGATTACTGGATTTCCAGGTTTAATCTTGAATGCAACTGGATTGCTCACTTTTTCATATTTTATGACGTATTAATAATTGATAAAAGATTTTAGAAAAACTATTCTAAATTATTTAGCCACTCCCAACGTTACTTTGAATAATGCATTCAGTTAAATACTGATATACAATTGGTTGCAATGCTGTTGTTTTAAGAGTAATTTACATACTTTCACTTTTTATTTCCTGATGAATTAATTTTCTTGTAGTGAATTTAAAGTTTTGTGAAACTTCCTGCATGACTTCTGAAAATCAACTTGGATTATGAAAAAGTATAAACCATTATAATTTACAAACTCAGCAAGTTATAATTTAAGATTCAGAAACTTAACTATACCTTTTAACATCACTCTTCAATTTTGTGGAGTTGTCTGTTTTTTTTTAAAAAACAACTAGTAACTTCTAACTGGGGAAATTATGGTTCTAAACATCTTTAGATTAAGTGGAATGTATCCAACATATTTATAAATTTCTACAATAAAATGTTTGCTTCAAATTATGTATACTTGGCTTATTTTTTTCCCTCTGCTAAATATAAAATCTGCACACTTCAATAATGTAAGTTTTCAGCATTTAAAAAGGGCATTCTTTCATCTTAGGATAGTTAAAAAAACAAAAAAAATATTAGTTGAGAACTAAT